ATAAAAGTTGTATATATATATATTACTTCGAAAATGCATCGTAATTTATAATAAAAAAATTTAAATAATTTTTATTATTTATCAATAAAATTCCTGTAAACAGAGATGATGAATGAGATAAGGATAAGTTTTTCTACAGTTCTTGATAATACTGTATTATCTAATGTGGAGAAAGAAATATAAAAATAAATTTTATCATCATTAAAACTATTATCAATTATTTGAAAAAGTATGTTTAAATAGTTTATCTAAATTAAAAAAGAAACATTTCCCATTTATAATACTATATTTAATTTAACATCATTTTATTAAGATAAAGATGATATTTTTACTTCATATTTTTAAAATTAAATTATTATTTAAAAAATTAAATCTCCTGATAGAAGTTCAAGCTTAGAAGATAGCTTCTGCTAGAAATTATTATATAATTATATTTAATAAATTATGATTTATTTAATTAAATACAGCAATAATAATTTTAAATCCAACAAATACAAGACGTATATATAATATAAATATATAACTAACAGAATGATCCAGTAATCCAGTTAACTGTATTTTTTTTTTTGTGTGTGTGTTCCAGGTAATGTACATTTGTGAATATGAATTTTAGGAAAACGTGTTTACAAAACAGTGGAAACATAATAAAAATCTGATTAAGTATTTGAATAAGGCAGCATTTTAGTCTTTATAATAGTTAACTGGTTTGTAACCCATTCTGTATAATAGACTACAACGTTTATATAAATGCATTTATATACACGTATAATTTGTATTGATACCTACTAATTTAGATAACAAATAAAATATACAGTAGAACCTCGATTATCCGGACTAATTGGGGATGAAGGTAGTCCGGATAAGGAAAAATCCGGATAATCGAAATAGATACTTTAATTNGACTGCCATCTAACAATAGGAAGACTTTATTCTAAAACTGTTCCTAGATTAATGTATCTTTTTCTTTTCCCACATTTTAAATTTATTTGTTACTGGCAGAGTAAAAATCCATATCTATTGCATGTATGGAATTAAAGCGCCCAGTAACTTTCAAGAAAAATTCACTTTGTCTCGGAATTTATTCCCAAGTACCTATCTATAATAGAAAATATTTGGTAACTAAACGATGAGAAGAACAAGAAAGAAAAAAAAAAGCTTCACTAAAATATCTCTCAGAGCACCGATTCCTATTCAAAAACATTCAAAAGCCGCTAGCATTTCTCATTAGTAATTTTGAAAAACTGAAATTAGTTTTTGAATGACAAGCTCAAATAAAATCATAACATCTTTTTAATTTCAATGGTGTCACGAATTGTCAAACTTTTGTATTAATAAAGGACTTTCGTTAAAATTTTGGAATTTTAAAATTTGTATATTTTATGAAACATTGTTTTATCTGTCCAAATTGGATATACATTAATTAATTAATATGTAGAATTTGAAATAATCATTATATTTTTCCATTTGAATAAAATTCATAAGTTTTTAATGGATTTCGATAAAATTTAAACAATAGCCATAATAAACCTCTGATTTCCCACAGGTTCGGTGTTATAAATTGAAACTATTTCTGAGAATACAGTTTAAACTATGCAATGCAATATTAAGATGGCCAACAAAAAATACGCCACTTAAATACGGTATCTCATAAATTGTAATAAAAAAAGTCATAAAAGCTGGGGGATATATAACAATTAATTATTTGCTTTTCTATTATTTTTTACTTATAGCGAATGTTTTTAAAATATAATGAAATTTTCAATTATTTCAAACATTTCAGATATTATATTTACATGATCTATTTTTGCTGTTATCCATTCAGTTACATTCGACTCTTACAAGTTAGTGACCCTGTAAACAATGGTTTTTAATTCTTGTTTTATCTGTGACATCTTTATATAGCTATCTGTAACATGCTTTGAGAAGGCCTCAAGTAAATCTTATGCTGTGTTCAAAGTATTAACTTCTGCTTAGGTGTAATTGATTCCATTGAACAATCAGTCTAACTTGATCTTGATCAGAATCTTTTATAAATTCCAAACAATAGTTTTCAATGAAATTTGCAATTATTAATTAGAAATTTTTCTAAATAAATTGGATAATATATATAGGAAACATTATATAATAATTTATTTTTATATTAACGAAAATTTTTCAGAAGTTTAAACAATTATAAATTAAATATAAAATATAAAAACATTGAAAATTCTAATTTTATAACTTAATTTATCGAGTTATAAATTAAGTTATTATAAAGAAAATAACTGAAAATAGAGTTACGTTATTAATTAACTCTTTTATAAAAATTTTCCGAAAAGAAATTTAATTTAATAATTTAAAAATTATATATAGAAGAAAACTAAAATGTCTTCAAGCTTCCATCCTGTCTAATCATAATAATCAGCTACAAACAGTTTTCTTTTCACTTGAAGACATTTTAAGTTTCTTCTATATATATATATTAAATTGTGAAATATACCGTCTGCCTTTTTAATTCAAATTATGTTAATTTAATAAGTATAATTCTTTTAAGGATTCTTTAACCATTTCCATTACAGGTTTCTAAAAATGTATAGAAGCTCTAGTAAAAATTTAATACTTAAATGGTTAAATTGCGATAAATGTGTCAAATTGAACTGCACATTTATACATTTACTTTTCAACGAAGTTGCTTAAAATTAGTAGGCCCTACTTGATTGCTTGCTATTCTCTCAATTAGTTGCATGTTCTTCGGAACTAAGACTTTTTCCATCAAAAGGAGTTCTCAATAACAACTTTATGCTAAGTTTCGAAGAACATAAACTACAAATTGTTTAAAATTACTTTAACATATAATGCATCTAATATTTCTGTAGTTGAGCATATTGCTAGATTCTTTTAACTTAAAATCTAAAGCAAATCATGGGCATTTAGGTAGACAGCAACAAAAATATTTTTTCCAAAGCAAATAAATTATTATTAATACATCTCAATTAAATACATTATCATTTAATCGAGCTTTATTAATATCCATCAAGTGTGACATTTTTTAAAAACTTATGGACTATGGACTGTATTTATTTATCAAAACTGTCCATTTCTACTCATGTGAACATAACTAAGCTATTTTCAGTTAGCTGGTCTAAATCCTACTTGATATAAGTTTTGCGAAATTATTTAAAAGAAACATCATAATGTAAAGAAACTTCGTTATAAAAGAGATAATTTACAGTTGCATCGAATTTTATGAGAAAATAAACTAAAATAATTATATAATTTAAAAATTTATTCTATTTTTTATTTTAAATAAAAATTAGTACAGTTTTAAAATTTTTCAGTATGTAGGCCTATGTAAACAGGTTTATAATTTTTAAAACTTTAAAATCTACAGCACGCATTTAACCTTTGTAATTAATATAATTATATTAAATCAGATTATACGAATTACAAACTCAAACTTTAAATATAGGAACATTAGTGTATATAAAATAATTTATCTATGTATAAATGATTTAATCCATCTTTTTTCCTTATTTTCAATGAAAATTGTACCACTTTCTTATAAGAACTACATATTATCTAACGATGATTCTACTTGGTATATAAAAGTATTTCTCTTCTATCAGTGTAGTAATTTTCCTCTACAATTTTGCAGAACTTTATTAAAATTCATAAGATTTTCTATTTCAGAGTCGTAAGAAATTTACAAATTTCAAATTTTAATATTTTTGTTTTTTTAACATTTTACAAAAACTTGTGATAAATGTTATTACAAAAAATGTTTTATTTTATAAAAAAGATCATATTAAATTATTAAGAGATAATTATCTATTAGCCTACCAAGCGATAAATAACTATATAATGAAGTAAAGATTTTAGTGTAAAATTTATTATAAAATATTAAAGATGTAATATTTACAGTTATTTAAAAAATTTTTAAATATTAAAAAATATTTTGTGATAATTTTATTTATTTTATATAATAAGATATATTATATATTAAATGTTGAAAATATTCTGAAAATTTAGTATTTCTGCAAAGGGCAAACTAAATTTTCAGAATATTTTCAACGTTTAATTAAATAAAAACACATTTTATTATTTTATTGAAAGATAATACTGTATACAGTATATAATTTCTATATTCTTTAAGAAAATAACAATATTGTACATTATTTTATGAATAATATAATATTGTAATATTGTAGCTCTTTTTTAATTAGAGCAATAATATATTATAGCAAGTTATATTTTAGACAAAATATAGTTTATTTATAAGATTCTCCATAAATTTTTATTTTTATAATTATAAAATAACCATTATATATTATTGCCAATAAATGTTACTTAGTAGTCTTATGTTCTTATTATTATTATTTTTTTCATTTTTCTTATTATAGATAAAATCTTTTTAAAAAAATAAGAAAAAACTATGGTATTAATAGCTCAACGAAAATAAATTTTAAATAATTTTGATATTAATCACGCTTATCATTTACTAATAAGCGTGCACGAAGTAGTGCATTAACACGTGAACACATATTAAAGTAAACGGAAGATTATCATCATGCGACAATAACAGTATAATCACGTGTAATGCATGTGGATATAATGTGTTCGCCAAGCCGCCAAGGACAGGCTAGCATCAAAGTTACAATTAAAAAAAAGAAAAAAAAAATAGACAAGTGATGAAGAGGAAGCTACCTTCACCCCTCAGATTATAACATCCCTATCTAATCTCATACTCATTAGTAATATATATATATACCTTGAATGTTATTGCGATTTACTGTTTATAGTAACCTTGACCGAATATATTTGTCCGTGTCCCCTAAATTAATTCTGTATTCATCACTGACATTTGGAAAGTTTCCACTTACGAATTTAATACCAAACACCTAAAAATAAATGGGATTCGGCAGGGGGCGCTTCGAAATCCTAAACAAAACGGTCCAACATCTTTTATAAATGTTTAGAAAATGATGAATTTGACAAGGAAAAGGTCTGTTCTGAAAGATTGCTTGAATTGTAATAGAGACGAATACAAAATGAAGGTAAATCCTGTTACATATGTTAACGAACGAGAACAACTGACAACGATTGAATTGAGGAATGGAGTTAAAATGCCTTTGCTTGGAATTGGTAAGATTTATTTTTTCAATTAAAATATCCAATATGTTTCAATTAATTAGAAACGTAACACGTGCAACAGCTGACGTTTAATTTCGATTTATGTTTTTGTAAAAATATACAAAATTACATACGTGTACGGTAATTGTTAATAAATAATAAATGATCAGAAATTAAATTTTAGGATTTTGTTAAACTTTCAAAGATTTTATCGATTTTGAAATTATGTTCACTTGATTTTGCTGTTCATTCCTCCTAATTTGAAAAAAAAAAAGATAACTAGATTAAGAAAAAAGAATAACATCCTTTTTCTTTTGATGCTGTTATTGTATTTTCCCTTTGATTTTATTTTCTTCTTTATAATATCTTATAATATTCTTTATAACAGTACAAATAATATAGAAATATTATTTGTACTGTTATCTTCTGCATTGTTTACAATGGCAATTTTGTATTGAAAATAATTACTTGGTTATTTACACTGAAAAAATGAGCATTATATAAAATTGACAACTAATATTTAACATGTAAAACTTCTAAAGATAAGAAAATAAAATTTAATCTTATCATAATTGATACTTCTAATTACACTAATTAGTTTTTATATATTTTCTTATTTAAATTTTGATATTATGAAATTGATTATTAAATTGAAAATTTCATAATGTTGAAAATAACATTTTTTTGTGTATTTTTTTTTATTGCTTGATAATTTCAGGATTATTACAATTCATTTATAAAATTTGTTTGCTCAGCTTGATAATTATATGAATTTTTACTAAATTATAATAATATAGCAAATTTATGTAACATTACATTACTTAATTCATTTAATGCAAATATAATTATTTTCAGGAACATCTCACAGTGGAGGATATTCACACAATGCTGTTGTTTATGCTCTAAAGAAATGTGGTTATAGATTAATTGATACTGCAAAAAGATATGGTTGTGAAATATTTTTGAAAGATGCTATAAAGGTGTTATATATTATTTTGAATTACATAGTATCTAAATATAAGTAGAATTAATGATATTGGAGTACTAGTTCAAAATTTCTTAGTTATTATAAGTTAATATATTTTATGCTTAAAATTTTAACAACTGTAAACAATGTACTTAAATCAGTTTTATCAATGCATTCTATTGATAATGTAAAGAGATGATAACATTAGTATTTTTTATAATTTCTAAACAACAAAATAGATTTATCTATAATTAGTTGTGTATTAGAAGATAATAATAATATAAATGTTTATTCTTACATAAGTTCTTATTATTCTTACTAATTAAAAAGTATTATACTATTGTGATATTTTATTCAGTTTGTAGTTATTCAAAGCATTCTAACATAGACAAATATTAATTTGACATAATTTTTAAATTTAGGAAAGTGGTGTGAATCGAGAAGATATTTTTTTAACAACCAAATTATGGCCAACAGATTATGGCTCCATATCTACCAGAAAAGCTTTTTATGAAGCAATGGAGAGATTAGGTGTAGATTATTTAGGTAATTAGTGATTTAAAAATTCATTTTATTATTTATTTATTTAGGTTAAACATTTTAGATTTTGTTGTATACAAATGTTGTGATGATGGTGGTGGTGTAGAATGTTTTCGTATAGACAGTCAAAAAGAACACAGTACACGCTTCTTTCTAACAATAACAACACAAAAAATAAAAACACTTTAATTTCTCCAAATCAGCGAGTGACTCTCTGGCACTCCACCATTTTTTGATAGTTACAATACTGGACCAGCCACACAGCTACTCACTTTGTTAGCTCCCTGGTCAGTACACACACTCTCTCTCTGACTCTACATACCCTCACCCACCCGACATGTGTGACCAAGCTGTGGACTGTCCATCACCACCTGCCGACATCCACACACCTGACACATGTCTCACAGATGTTACACTGAACTTAACAGATATAAATCTGTAACTTCAATTAACTTCAGGATACTTATAAATTTTGGAAATGAATAAATAAAAGTTTCAGAATTATTTTTTAAAGAAATAGAAGTTATTGGGTTCTATTAATTTTATAGATATGAAAATTAGAACTATAAAAATTGTTATTTTTCAAGTAATTTTCATTTAAAAATCAAAGATTTTTAAAATATCTTGTATAGTTTTTTTTACAAGATTATTTTGTTCCAATTTATGTTGATAGTAATTTTCAATGATTTTAGTTTGATTAAAAATTAAGTTTTGTATCCTATAAATAAAAATTATTAACAAGAAATTTTCTTATAAATTTGAATTTTTTTCATGGTATATAATATTTTTAAAATGAGTTTTAAGTCTTGATGATTAAAGTAAAATTACAAATAACATTTTGTATGAAATTAATAAATTCATTTTTAATTTTTCCTTTTAGTTTAGAATTGAAATTATGAAATTTTTTAAAAATAAATTTATTGGCACTAAAGAATATGCTTAATAAAAACTATCTAATTAGTTTTTGATGATCAGGAATAAAAATAAAACTAAATTTTATTTACAGTAAAACAATTTTTTTGTATACCTAATTGTTTATACATATCAAAGTTTAGAATATAGAATTTCCAAAATACAATTTAATACTATAAAAAAAAAATAACTGCATTGCATAAACAAATTTTATAAGCAACAATAATAAATGCCATAATTTAAAAATTCCATATTATGTTTCATATAAATATTTTTAGCCTAATCTAGGCCGTATTCAGCAAATTGTAAACAGAACTGAATACTATTTACAATTTTATATATTCAAAATGTAACATTTTAACATTCCATGTTTTTTTGAAAACTTGAAATAGAAAGTGATTTTTGGATTAATTAATATAGTTTGATGCAAGTTACAGTTCTCCATTATATCATATGTTTATTATAATGTAAGTTTATAATATTAAATTGATTTTGTCACATAACTTGATTAGATTATATCATATAAATAAAATCAGTTTGGAATTTATAATTAATTAGCTATATACTAGATTTCATTACATAGTTAATTTATAAATTTCAGTTTGATTTCAATTTTAGTGTTTTTGTTTGTTTATATAATGTTATACATATATGATATAATATATGAATATATTATATAAACCTTGCAAGGAGTAGAAATTATAGATAGTTGTTACAGGTGATTCATGAACAAAAGTGTCACAGTTAGTATAGTAAAAATATCAACAGTATGATTGTATAATGGTTCAAAATTATGTTATATCTTCAAACAAAAATCAGTTTTGAATATAAATGGCATAACTTGATAATGTTTTCATTTAATTTGCTGGAATTACAGATTTGAATCTTCTAAATTGATTTTTTTCATACATATAAAATTTAATAGATAATTTTAGAAAAAACTCCATTTTAATAATTATTTTGTTTACAAGATGATAAAACAACTTTCCTTTAGACAAAATTTTTTAATAGACTATATTATTCTTTTACTTATTCATCTTTTATTTCTTTCTTCCTGTTTTGTGAACAAAATGTCAGATGCACATTGCAGTTAGATCTAGATCTTATTTCATAAAATTTTAAGATCTTTGAAAGGAAATTTTATTATACAAGATCTACCTAGTTTTTAATTTAAGTTTAATGTTTAAGAAAAAAATCTGTTTAACATTAAAATTTATAAACAATAGTAATTTATTAATTAAATGTTTCAAAAAAAAATCTAAGAATATTAACATAATATTTTTAATATGTATTATTAAAAGTAACATGAATTTCTAAACAGAAATTATTTATTTAGAACACATAGTAATAACTTATTCCACATAAACACATTAATAATTCTAGGTTTTAAATGATAAAATACAACCTAACATTTTTTATAAAGTTGAAAAATAAATTTTTTCAATAAATTTTCTTTGCCATTGATTAAGATAAGCAATTTTTTGGTTCTGGGTCACAACATCTTACAAAAAATATGTTGCAACCTAGAATTTATAAGAAACTGTCTAAGAAAATCACAGATAACATTAAATAACTATTTTATCTCAGACCTTAAATATTATACAATAAAACTTAAAGTAATTTTAAATTAAAAGTTATTATCTTTCAATTATTTGCAGACAGTACAATGCTCATTATATAACATGTATTATTCAAGAGCCAACAATAAAAAACATACAGCAGTAAGTGAAATATTTTATTTATATATCTCATTTCTGCAAATTGAGTATTTTGAGTTTCAGTTTTAATAATTATGTATATAGATAAATATATAGGAAAATTGAGAGTCACAAAACATGTTCCTACATTAAGATGTGAATCATAGTTTAGAAAGTTTATGCAATTGAATAAAGAGATTATATATTTTAGAATCTTAATTTAATAATATCTCAATATAGTATAATATAAAACATTGAAAATTGAATTCATTTCAAATGAATAAGATAAACTATGGAAAATAAATTTTAATGAAAATATAGCAACAATAATAATGTCGAGTTGATTATTTATCTTTCAGAGCATACAGTAAAATTACAAGTAGGCTATACTTTGTGTACAATTTAAAGTACAATATTATAATACAATTTACAGAAAAAGAAACTTTATTAATAAACTACCAATTTAATAATTAATAAAGTATGATGTAATATTCAAAATCTGTTACTACAGTTAGTTCAATTTACTTTTATTGTTTAAGTAACAATGATTTATAAACTTGTCTTTTCTTTATAAATGCTAATGAAAATATTGCAGATAATTTTCATTTTCTTACTTTTTATATATAGATTTATAGCATAGATTTTTAAAACATACATCTAAAATTCAAGGTGAATAAATGCTTAAAAAATTAAATAAAATATCTCAGATACAGATTAAATTAAATTCAAGTATCAATTTTTTACACTTTTAACAAAGTATTATTATTATATTATTATAATCAAATATTGTTATTATTATTATTATTATAATAACAATAATAAGCAGAGACTCACATTCAAAACTAGGCCACAGTCTCCCTTGGTTATCAGTGGCGAAAGCAGCACCTGCCCAAGCATGGCTACTGCAATGTCCTTGACAGTTGTGACAAACCAACCTAGCCTTGGTGTTTCTGTGGCAATGCATCTACAGACCACAAAGGCTGGAAAATCATGCCAACAGATGAAATGGACAATAGAAATGAACAAGTTTATTATCACAAGACTTGAACCAAACATGATAGCGTACAGACAACTAAACCATAGATTTACACAACAATATCCTCATCTCACTGTCAAAGGGTTCTCGATCAAAAAAGAGCAATTATACACAACAGCCGTATACAAACAACACTTGAATTTATCAAACAACAGGTTGCTGATCAAATACATCAACATTAACATTTAACATCAATGAAGATCATGAAACCTGCCAGGATAGTCCAGCAACAAGCACTGATAATAGCACACATACAACAACTATTACTAATGATACTACAGACACTTTTTCATCCATCACTGATAACATAAACATAGATTTAGTTAATATGTTCTCACTTATATTTCAGGAAACACTCACTAAATATAGAGGTACAGATCCCACACAAAGACTGCGAATACCAAAAATCAACACTTCTAAGGTAGTAGGAAAAACACACAAATTATGTAAACACTCACTTACAAACACACTACATTCATTTAACTTTTACATTCTTAGACATTCATACATTAGTTTATTCTGGAGCAATCACAGTAGTGACACACCATGGACTGAAAATACAATTGCAGACAGATATACACAAAATACAATTCTTGTCACAAGCCTTTATTTGTGTTTCATTAGACAACAGTTAGGCAGGCTGACACAATACACTAAAAACCACATAACACCCAAATTAAAGAAATAACTCAAAAACATTTTTAAGAAAATCAAAACACACAAAACATGAACATCATAACACACACATTACAGAATACATTGATAAACTAAAACAAAAACTCTCAACCAAAGCATGTATACTCAAATGATACAAAACATGTTTTGTATCATTATGCAAAATCAACAAAATAAATTATTTACAAACAATGAAAAACTCTTTTACAGATAAATTAGTACCAAAACAAACACTGATACAAAGCAGACCAACAGAAGAACAACTCACAAATTATTGGTCTTCTCTTTGGTCCAGTGCTGTCACACACAATGCTATTGCAGGTTGAATCGAGGAGGAGAACAAAAACTTGTACAACATACCAACTATACCCCGTGCTGCAATAAACTTACATGATATCCAATACACTGTTAACAGAATACACAACTGGAAGACACCAGAATACACAACTGGTGTAGACAACATTCACAATTTCTGGTACAAAAAGTTTACATCACTGCACCAGAAACTAGCTAAATATCTAACACACATCATCATCAACCCACAAGACATGCCAAAATTTCTTACTCAGGGCATCACATGAAACTTAAAAACAACAATACCACACACCTCACACAATACAGACCAATTACATGTCTTCCAACACACTACAAATTATTGACATCCTGTATCACAAACAAAATATACAAACATGTTGAAGAACACAACATTCTTACAGAACAACAAAAAGGTTGCCATAGAAATCACAGGGGCTGCAAAGATTCAGTCATTCTCTAGCAAGCACAAAAACAACACAGAAACATATGCATGGCATGGCATATACAGACTACAGAAAAGCATTCGACAATGTTCCACAAGGTTGGCTGCTACATATTCTACACATCTACATCCATTTCTCATTGCATTCTTTCAAAACATAATGCAGAACTGGAGAACAACACTAAATCTCAGGATTCTTAACACTTCCATACAAATAAACCAAATATTTATTAGACAAGGAATTTTTAAAGGAGATGCCTTGAGTCCTCTCTGTTCTGCTTAGTCCTGAAGTTACATATAGCATGTTATCTAACACTTTAAACAACATGCTACATGGTTACAATATCAGACATGAAAAAACAACACAGTTTACATTGTCACATCTCATGTACATGGATGACATAAAACTTTATGCATCCACACAAAAGCAACTTCATAAACTCTTTCAAATCACACATTCATACTCCAAGGACATACAAATGGAATTTGTATGTCCTTGGCCCAGACAAATGCAAACACTTCATATATAAAAAGAGTCTCAAAGAAAGGCGATTTTGCATTTGGAAATGAAGATATTATTGAATTCATGGAAGAGGATGAATTCTAAAGTATGTATGATTCCAACAGTCCAAACTAACAGAACATATACAAATAAAGCAAAGATTAATTAAAGAATACCAAAGTAGGTTAAATGCTATTCTCAGAACATAGTTAAATGCAAAATACACAGATAAAGTAATAAACACACATGTTGTCCCAGTACTCACTTATTCTTTTGGAGTTATCCATTGGACTCTCACAGATCTAGAGCAATTCCAAAGAAAAACAATACTTACTAAGCATAAACAACATCATCCTAAATCTGCCATAGAAAGATTAACCGTCCAATAAGGTAGCGGACATGGCCTGATTGACATAGTAAACAAATACAGACGTTGTGAGAGTTTTTCTACAAAAAATAAGAAACATCACTTAGCAGACTCAAATAACATACCATTAAACTTACACTCACTTCATATGGACATGACACAACATATAAAAGGCATAGACACCATTAAGCAATCGTGGGCTCAGAAGGCACTCCATGGCAGGCATCTCTATGACCTGGCCCAGGATTGTGTTGACAGAACTGCGTCAAACAGCTGGTTAGCTCAGGGATGCCTCTTTGGGGAGACAGAAGGGTTCATGATTGCCATTAGGAGCAGCTCATAAATACTAAAACTATAGAAAACACCTATTCAAAGATACAACACTCACAAATGACACATGTAGAAAATGTCACACTTATGCCAGAAACTATACAACATATCACTTCTGGTTGCAAGCTCCTGGTACAGACAAATTATTTACATAGATACAATCAAGTAGCCAATATAATACACCAAGAGTTTTCAAAGAAACACAAATTATTAGACATCCAGAAACCATACTACAAATACATTCCACAGACAGTATTGGAAAACAACATGCACAAAATGTACTACTACAGAGCCATAATCTCAGATAAAACAATTTACCACAACAGACCAGACATCACACTCATTGACAAACACAATAAAATCACATACATTATAGACATTGCCATTCCAAACACTCACAATATACAAAACACATTCACTGAAAAAATTAGCAAATACACAGAACTCACCCACGAAATAAGGCATCTGTGGAGGATGCTTATTGTACCTGTTGTTCTCTCCTGTGAAGGTGTGATACCACACACACTACACAAAAGCCTGGGAACATTACGCTCCACCAGTGGCCAAGTGGTCTTCATTCCCTGAACACTGGGAGTTCAGTCATGGGTTCACGCCTCATTCAAATGGGCTGGCCATGTGGAGTTTTTCAGGTTTTCTCCACGTCTGTAATGCCTAAATAGGGGCAAGTTTCCCTTAAAAAGACTTTCCGGAAGCATCCCCCTAGGCAGATTGTCCAAGTGTTGCGTTGCCATAACTAAACAAATAAACTGGGAACATTACAATTGAATAGAAACACATACTTTACACTACAGTAGGCCACTATATTGAATACATGTCATATTGCTAGGAAATTCCTNTCATCGATGTTAAGCCTAACAAATTTTTTTAAAAAAATAATAATCGTCGCTATTTTATCGTTAAAAATTATTTTTAAATTATTTTATTGCTCACAAAACAAACTAATCATAATTAGAAAATTAGGTATCGTTTAAATACTGGCCTCTCTTTCATGGTCAAGCCATGTTGCCAGCTTAACACGCAAAAATTTAACAAAAATAATATCAAAGTAGCCAAGACATAGCCAAATATTGTAGCGCCACATCACTAATGGACATTTGAAATCTGCCAACTAGAACGATTAACCGTCACATCGGTTAACCGATGTGACGGTTAATCGGGGGTCGGATAATCGATGCTCTACTGTATATCAAAAATATTTATAAATTATCTACTTATCACAACAGCATACTGTTTTAATAAATATCTTATTCAATAAAAAATAAAAAAATTAGAAGTACAAATAAACAGACTTTATTAGTGAGGTTGCAACTGAAGTTTTTATCTCTAAAATATGAACATTGGGCACCACTATCTTGTAAGCAGCACTTGATGTTCACATTTTAGTTAGTTGTTTGTTTGTTTAGTTATGGCAACTTGGGCTATCTGCCTAGGAGTGATGCTTTCCGGGAGGTCTTTTCAAGGGAAACTGTTCCCTACTTAGATGTTACGGATATGGAGAAAACCTGGTAAACTCCATGTGGCCAGCCCATCCGAGCAAGGTGCGAACCCATGACCGAACTCCCAGTGTTCAGGGAATGAAGACCGCTTGGCCATTGGTGGGTTTTTCACGTTTTAGAGATGAAAACTTTGGTCGCAAGCTCACTATTGTTTCTTCTATTTTTTCTTATAATTTTCACATTACATCCTTTTTAGACAAACTCACAAGGAAGCAATATTGAAATTAATTAAAATTAAAATAACTCATAATTTCTAAATAAAATTGATTTTTGTTTTCTTTAAACAGAATTTTTTATTTTAAGTGGTTCAATATGAAATAATTCTTTTGCAGATTTATTTATGCTTCATTGGCCTCTTTGTCCTAGTACATGTTCTGACAAATGGAATTTATTGCATGAAACTTGGAGAACATTAGAATGCCTTTTAGATGAAGGTATTATTCCTGCTTTGGCATTAAATTATGTAAGTTTAATTATTGTAATAAAGCTTATATATTTTGTTCTTAGGTCGCATTTCTGCAATTGGTGTTAGTAATTGTAATATTGATGATCTTGTAAAATTTCAAGAAAATTGTACCATAGTACCTCATGTTAATCAAGTTGAATTTCATCCTTATCACAATCTAAAGGATCTTAGAGACTACTGCAATGAATATAAAATACAGTTTGAGGTAAATTTTAAATAATTTTATATAATTACTATTTTATGAGAAATATTCACGAAAATAATTTCATTTGTATATTTTATTAGGGTTATTGTCCTTTAGGAAAAGGTAAGTTGTTAAAAGAAAAGCCAATTATTGAAGTGGCAAAACATTGTAATAGGACACCAGCCCAAGTTTTGATTCGATGGTCAATTCAGGTATATAAAATTCTTCCATTAAAAATATAAAAGTTTTGAATTCTGATGCCTAAATATTATTTATTATCCTTTATAGAATGAAGTGATTACAATTCCCAAATCAACAAAGATTGAACGAGTTAAGGAAAACTCAATGGTAAATTTATGAAATATTATTATACTGAAAACATTATTAAGTGCAAAAAATTTATTAAATATCCATAATTTAAATATGAAATAACTAGTGATGTAACGACTATTCGGTTACTATTTGGCTGAATACCAAATACTAAGGATGCACCGATAAGCAAAATGACCGATTACCGATTAATCGGCCATGCGTTATCGGCCGATACCAATTAATCGGCCGATTAGTGTTAATAATTTACTACATTAATAGTGTGAGATCCTCGAGTTAATTATACAGTTAATTATAATGTGGAAAAACCCATTTTTCTCCACCTGGTATTTCCATCTCCCTCAGGTCAGGTAAACAAGTGATTTTCAGCAGGAAAAAGCTGTTTTGCAAATTGTTTCCTTTGAAGGTTCCCAGACAGCTACACAAATCAGTAAACAGTTAAAAATTGTTCTTGAACAGTATAAGTTGACAAGTGATAAGATATTCTTAGTACTAAGAGCTTCTACAGCAAATCTGGTAGCTTGAATTAGGAATTGCAACTTAGAAGCATTATCATGCTTTATACATACACTGCAGTTGACACTAAATGAATGCATATTTTCTTAACAAAATTTTCAAACGTGCGTTAATCAAGCCGAATAGTTTGGCCGAATATTCGGCTATTCGGCCACGTTCCTGGCTGAATATTTGGTATTCGGCCTGAGGCCGAATATACTATTTGTTGCAACACTAGAAATAACCTTTACATTATTATCCATATCTCAATATGCTTGAACATCCAAAGAGTTACTGTGCAGTGAGAAATTTATAATGACATTAAAGTTATATGTATATTACATATGAGATCTGTAAGTTTATATGAAATACCATACATATAACTTTCTCATTGCACAGTAATCTTTCAGACACCCTATATGATAAATATTTAGAGTTTAAATATCAAACTATATAAAAGCATTTTATCCAAAATATTTTGTAGTAAATATTCTTTTACGGTTTGAAAATTTGAATCTAAATATAAATTTTTTCAATTGATCATATGAATATTTCTGACTACTGCAATAAGGTTGGTTGTGGTTGATACAAGTTCAAATTAGTATAAGTTACATTTATAACCTGAAGTTAATTTATATCAGCCAAAATTTGATTTTAGTAAGCATTTTCAGCAACTAAAATGTATGAAGAAGAAAAGAGAGAAATCCTATCAAACAATGCTGTTGAAATATTTTAGAAATTAATAAATACATTTTTGTTTACATTTATGCATCATCTTTATTGACTCATTTTTCAATTAAATGAGTAAAATTTAATAGTAATTGAAACAAATTTTATAAATAAAATCACTAGTATTGCTTTTCATTCAATAAGTCTGGTTAATTAACACATTTTAATTATTCCTAACTATTATATTTTTTCCTTTGTTGTTCAATATATTTTAAGTTATATGAAAAAACATTTTCAATGGTTTAAAATTAATTACACGACTTTTGTTATAATTGCTTCAGATAATATCATACTATTCAGTTTTATACTAATCATGCAATGCTATCACAATTACTCATTCTAATTGTGACTTGTCTATATTTAATAAAACATAAACAATGATTTTTAAGTTTTTTTTATTTTTACTCTTACTATTTTTTTACATTTTCCTTCTGATATGTTTCAGTTTGAAAGATTTTTATCTACAAGGCATCCACTTAAACATCTACCCAGTGGCAAAAGAGATTGTTCCAGCATTGCACAAGTGTTTGCGTACTTAGTCCACAGTTCAGTGCTAAAATAAACTGATAGAAATCAATTTAAGACAATTCAGCATAACATACAAATAATCTGACTGCAAAGAACAAAGACTACATTGCGAAAATTGATAGAAAAAAGCAGGTTTTATTTTGTTAGAGAACATATAGAAAATGACTGCATTCAGTGGTAATACAAAGATGTAGATAGTTGAGTGTGATATAGATAGCATATGTAGCATTCTTAGTGTTACTGTTTTACAGCTTGTCATAGGTCTCTCCAGTTGATACATATGTCAACTGGAGAGACCTATGACACTACTGGGTACACATCATATACTTATGTTTTTAGGTGACTCCACAGGAAAAAATCAGAGGGTCAAGTTTGTAGAATGACGTGGCACTGTATTGTATTGGCACCAGACACTGGCTGTATTTGTGTCAATGGCAAATCATTAAGCCATTTGTCCACCATCATGTTCAAGATATTCAAATAACAATTACTATTCAGTGTGCCATCAATGAATATGGGACCAAGAAGCTGTTCACCCAGATTCCACAGTAGACATTTAGGGTAAAACACATTTTGTGTCACATATGTTACAGGCATTGTGGAGCATGTTTTGTCCAGTAGTGCATATTGTAATAGTTAAACAATGCCTCACCAGTCCATAAAATATACTGAAGAAGTTGTGGTTCATGATACTGTAAATTTAACATTGCACCATTCTAATCACTGTTCAGCATCCTCTGCATGTTGTGCTGGTTGCAGTTAGTAGCAGAATGGGTACATGTCATGGTAATGTATTTGTGTCTGCTGCAGTGTACAACTTAATCAATGCTGGAAAGATCTCTTTTGCCTCTTGATAGATGTTTAAGTGGACACCCTGTATATGTATCTGCTAAATTTTAGATTCAAAATTAAACATATATTTTATATATCAAATAGTTTTATAGAAATTTAAAAACATTTATTGATGTAATTACCTAATAAACCTGAATTTTTTATCAAAGTGTATAAAATTTCTACTTTAGCTTTCAAATAAAACAAAAAGGAATTAAGAAGGGATGCCTATATTTTATATCAGTATCCTATTCCTGAAAATGGGAAGTTCTGTAGAAAATTGTTAACCTTGAACCTATTTTCCATTATCTTAAATGGGAAAAATTATAATAAATTACATCATCAACTCAAAACGCCCAGCAAATTTCTGAAAATGACATATAAACTATATATTAGAATATAAAATACTTAATACACTGACAAGAATATTGTAAATAAAAGATATTTAGAGAATAATTCATTAATTATAAAGGATGATGTTTTTGATGCAAATTATAGAATAATAATAAGTCATCATCAAACAGTTAATGTAGTTAAAAAACAGTTGCTTTGTATGCAATAATATGTACAATCCTAATGCAGTATTGCAAATATCATATTTATGATATAGCAAGGGAAATAATACACAGCAGAAAAATGATTTGTTTTGAAAAATGCAGACAAAAATTGTCAATAAAAAATGGTACTAAAATGCAATGCATTTTTAATGTTTCTGACATTTCTTTAATTGTAGAATTTAATGATATCATAGCCTAAAGTGTGTTTGAGGCTTTCTGCTATAAGAAGTATTGCTATTTTATAACATTGACACCTTTTTCAGAATCAGATATATTCAAAGATGCATAATTCATTTCTTGATACTCAAGGTGATTTACAAAATGTCTACACATATAATTCCGACATTCAAATTAATTATATTTGGAACCTAACTTAAGACTTTTTCTTACATATTGTTTTGTTAAAGAAGTTGTATTAAATTTTTGGGGCATAGTTATAAATTCTTATGTAAATATTAGCTGAAAAACATTGTATTGAGAGAGATGTATATTCTATGAAGTTTGGGTATTAAAAACCAAATTATGATATTCTGGATAGATAACAAAGATTAAATATGTTACTTAATTATATATTTTGTGTTATATGTACAGTATATTTTATATATGTGAATATTCTTAAGCAACTTTTTTGTGATTCTAAACTATGATTGCAGAAATAGAGAAGTTTTACTATATTCTGTAACTCAAACATCTCTAACTTGAATATTTCTTTAACTCAAAGAAAATGAAGCACTTGGTAGATCTCAATGGAATAGCACAGAGATTTAAAACCTCCAACTTGAATTTTGTCAAAGTCGAAGGTTTTCATGGTCTCCTGACACTGATTTATATTACTTTTAACTTCCCTGACCTAAATTTTAATATTTATTCTATCCAAAGTGATCCTAACTATCATATTTTCATAAAATTTTCAGACAGTTAGTTGTATATACTGTCCAACACCCATTTGTAGACAACATTCCAGTTTAGATAAATCTCTCAACAAGATGTACAGTACCTGCAAAACTGTTAATTCCACAATTCCACTAGTTACATTGAACATTTTGCTGAAAGATTTTACATGGGTTCCAAAAAAAAAAAATCTATCAAAGATTATATAATACAAGAGAGGTAAAAATACAAATTATTCAGAATTGGTATTTTTCACTCTATTGTTCTCTAATGTGAATTGTCTCTAACGCAAAGCTTTTCCTTGCCCCTTGAAGCTTCAAATTAGAGAAGTTTTACTGTATTTCAAAACCTTTTAATAGAGGGAACAAACATAATAAAGATTTTCATAATATATATACAGTAAAATCTACTTATTGTAATCATTTTGGGATTCGATTATACTGTTGATAATATCCTCCATTCAATTATTATTATCAGTATAATTGAATTCCAAAATGATTACAATAAGTGGATCAGAATTTTCACTACTACTAGTTCCGATTACTTATTCTACTCAATGTTATTCAATTAACATTCAATCTTTTTTATTCTGCTTAATCTTATCTTCATTCAATTAACATTAATGTTAATTGAACTAGAAATAGTGAAAATTCTGATTTTTCTAACTTTGCACTAAAATTTAGAAATTTTTTTTGAGAGGACTTTTTAACTTGATAATTGTAATTAATAAACTTTCATTACTAATTTAACATTATTAAATTAATCTGTCTATCATATAGTTTAAATTATTGGTATTTATTTCTTAAACTACTGTGCTGCAAGCAAATAATCATTAAAGCTATTAACATTTAATATTTTAAAGCATTGATTAAAATCAATTAACTCTTCAGCCCTGCTTGCTGATAATGCACAACCATTATCAGCAGGGCTTGGCACTTGGTATTTGTTTTTTGCTAACTTTGATTTCAGAATTGATGGATTATATTGATATATTGGATTATATATATATATAAAATCCATCATTTCATCACTGACATGTAATTCTTTAGGCTAATTTACTAATCAGCAGTGTACTGGTAAAGTAAATACATACTATTTGAACATAGATAAATATAATAGTAATATAATAATATAATGAAGAATTTTTTGTTCTTACCAAAAGAGGATAAGATTTGATCAGATGGATGATAGCTGATAGAGAAGGAGAATGAATTAGTATTTGAAAGTTTTGAAGTGCCGGGTGAAGTTTTCTTTATACTTTTACACTAAAAATTTCTGATGCGGAGGGCTTTGATATATCCATAGAATTGGAAATATTTCTGGATAAAAAAAATCTCAAATTGGAACTTTGCTTTGTACATCTTGAAATATACCAAAGTAGATGTGGTACCATTTTTATAAGTATTGCTTCTTTTTACATTATCATATTCAGTAACAATATTTGTTGTCTACATATTCCATAAATTATTTTATCTTAGCAGTGTTAAGAGTTCTTTGCCTTTCCTTCTTCATCAGAAACTTACATTTGTAATGGAGTTCATCTAAAGTGAATTCTTCATCATGGGATTGCAAAAACTGATCATCATTCAGCCTCTCTTACAAGAACCAAGAGCTTTGCTTTTGCATCAGATACTTCATTAACTTTTCTAAAAGTCTGTAATGATTGAGGACATAGTTTATTCCATATAATAATCATTGTCTATGGAATTACTTTTTCAATGCAGCATTGATGAATTCTGCAGTTTTCCTAATGTCAAAGTTGCTTTAGTGAAGCTTCTTTATTCACATCAGTACTATCAACCAGATATTGCAAAGCAGTTGCAAATAATAAACCTTCAATGTTGCAATAATACCCTGATCCATTGATTACAACAGAAATGTTGTATTTGGGAGAAGAAAAAGAACTTGAATATTAGAATCAAAATCAACAGATCTATGATGCCCAGGAGCATGAGGACCAGTATACAAATAATATTGTTATCTTCAGAATATTTATTTTTGAAGGATAAGAAATAGATTTTGATATAGTCACTACAACTTCCCATAAAACCCAAGTCTCGTAGTTTGATCTCCAGGCAACAAACTCATTAGGATTCCTCTCATAGCATGAGAATTTTCAAAGTGGTAAACTAGCAATGGGTTCACTTTTGCATTGCCATCACAATTACCTGCAATAAGCAAGATAAGTGTGTGTTTGAATGCTTTGTGTTCTGAGATTTTCTTTTGATCTTGAGAGATACAGTAAAAGTATATGAAGGCATCCATTTCTGAGAAGTTGATGATTTGATTTTGCATTGTACTCTCCTCTTTCAGCAATCTTGTACTGGTTTACAAAAATGTTTTTAGGAAAATAAAAACCTGACATTGGACAAAACTAATGTATTTAGTTTGGATATTGTTTTGTTTTCATCTCTATAGTGTTTTCATATAAAATTTAACAAATTTAAAAATGTGCCAGAAAGAAAGCTGCAATTCAGAGTCAGCAGATATTGCTTCTTTGATTTTTATATTATCCTTCTTAAATCTGTCGTCAGTGATTTCCTTTGAGTGATAAATTATTCAAACAACTACGAAAACCGGATAAATTATCATAATAAAGCCAACCATTGCTGTATGCTATCAGGCTATATTAATAATAAATTACCAAACAATTTGACCCTAGAGGGAAGCGTTAGGCGCCATTCCGTAATAAATTTAATAATTAATCTAAATTATTTAATTAAAAATTATAATTATTAAATTTATTACGAGATGGCGCCTAACGCCTCCCTCTAGGATCAAATTGTTTGGTAATTTTAATATAGCCATTATATAGCCCAATGGCAAACGGCTGTGATTGGCTTTATTGTGATAAATTATTCACTTTGCTTTTTTATAAGCTCTTTAAACATTGATATGGCTTCTGTTGTATAATCATAGTTGATCATGTAATCCACCATTGATAAGATACATTTCAAATTTCTCAAATAACTGGTGATGACTTCTTAAGTGATGCAATTTTAAACAACTTACAATTGTTTTACAACTTTTTATCTTCTCATGATTTGCAAAAGTCACATATTATATATTGTAGAGTGAGATAACCCTGACGATAGTTGAATATCTTTCCCCCCCCACTTCAGTCGTCTATCGTGTTCATCTTTTGTTAAATCATTAAAGCTTTTCATATTCTCATTTCCTCTTTCTGCATTGTTTACATTTTTTTTTCCATTTTGTTTTGAGCCCATAATCCTCAAATTGCACAGAAAGAATTCCTTTAAGGCCAAAAGGGTGCTTTGCCTGATAAAGTGGTTTTAAAACGGCTGGATAAACAAGCCAATGGCAATGGATTCTTATCTAATTGTATTAAAGTGGCTTTGCCAGGCAACATTTTCAAAGAGTAAATACAATTCAAAACATAAAACTTACACATGTGAGTAACTAAAGATTATGTTGACAGTTTTAGAATAATATAAATAATATAAATACTATTTTTAACCACAATATTGAAATATTATTTAATATTTCTTAAAAGTTTTTCTCAAAAACCTTGTGTTATCAAAAAATTATTAGTTCAGTTCTATTTGTTTAATTTGAACATCATTTTAAAAACATTTTTATCAGTAGATAATATATTTTTAGGAAGCAATTTAAAATTTTTTAAGACTATTGGCAATCATAAAATCAGAGATAAGGTAACTCACGCCCTGTATAACATCTTGTGTAGATTAAAATATGAAATGCCCAAAGATTATTTTTTTATATTATATCTGGTTTTCTTCTCTTTTCAGATGTATAAACTATAAATTTTAGCTAATTAAATAGCCTAAGTTTATTATATTTTTTGATTCTTCACTTAATTATGTATTATAAGGCATCCTATGCATGTCTGCTGAATGTATGCTATATTTATTTATATGCAATATTTTTGACATTCTTCTGAAATGAGATAAGGCTTTCCAATTGAATAGGATTTCTTACATTTGATAAATTTATAGAAAAATCTTGATATAAAAGATATAATTTAAAAAATATTTAAAAAAATATAATCAGATATTCCTAAATTTTGATGTTCTTTGATTCCAATCTTTTTCCAGGTTTTTGATTTTGTAATTCCTGAAAAAGAAATGAATATTTTGAACAATTTAAATGAAAACAGACGTTATATTGATATCAGCAATATGCAATATAAAATTGACAATCCTCAACCAGATGGATATAAACTGAAAATGATAGCTGATAATGGAGAAGAAAAACTGTATTATAGGAATCACAGTTAGTTATTACAAATAAAAATTTATAGTTTTTGTATATTTAAATATTTGTAAATATTTATGTATATAATAATTTTCATTTAATTGATTATTTAATGTATATTGTTTATTTATTGTCTATACTTGTGATTCATACAAATATTTAATTCACTATTGAAAATTTAAAAGGAATGTCTGTTGAACATATCATAAGACAAAACCATTTAATTTAAATATTTTCAAATGTTTTTAGGAAAATAAAAACCTGACATTGGACAAAACTAATGTATTTAGTTTGGATATTGTTTTGTTTTCATCTTTATAGTGTTTCCATACAAAATTTAACAAATGCTGTTAACAGTACAGAATAATTTATTGTAAAATTTATACAAAAATTTACAGTCTTGTAAGATACTGTATTTGTGATTTATTGTGTAATAATATTTCAATAAATTAAATTGTAAATCATAATTTGTTGTGTTTATTACACAAGAAATTCAATGTTTGTTTCATTTTAAAATACTTTTATTCTATAATATTGATATATTCTAAGTGAATAATTAATATAAAGTAATTTTTAAACTTATTCACAAAAAATACAAATATGGAACAAAGCTACCTTATTTTATATGCAGGATGTTACTTGTTACATTGATGCTAAATTATATTTTCTAGTATTGATACTTTATCTAGTTAAAATGTTCGTGCTTTGATTTATGCAACGTAATATACACGCAATTGAGTGAGTGGCCTATATACAGTATGTATTCAAGCTTTGAATCTATATTTAAAGTATAAATATAATATAACAATGGATATAATATAATATTTGAAATATAATTTATTATAAAAATTAAGGTCATTGCAAAAAACATCTATTTTGCTACAAAAAAAAAACGTTTGTTTAATTCTAGTTTTAACACGCAAAATTTATATTTATGATATTTAACTAATAAATTTCTTATGCTTCAAAAGCAGTGCCGGCCCTAGGCAAGTTTTAGGATGGAGCGCGATCCTATTATGGCGCCCGGAGGTGGAACTCCGCCCACGCACTCGACCCATGCGTGTCTCAACACATAAGACCATTCACATACTGGCCATACACTTGAATTAAAATATCGAAAAGTGAAAAAAATATTTTTTCCTTTAATTTTCTTTACCCCTAGGAGCGGCCTACCATAGGGCGAACGAAGCGGCTGCTCCGTTCGCCCTATGGTAGGGCCGGCTCTGTTCAAAGGTAAACCGGTAAATTTAAAAATTTGACCGCAAATACATAAATTAGCGCAACATTGATTGATTACAGATTCACTCATGAGTTGGCAACCAATCTTTAGTGCTCTGGACCAATTGAAATCCATTTTTTTCTATTTTGAAAAGTAAAAGTCTCGTCGCCTGAAAATAAAGATTGCTTTAATTTTTTAGTTAGCTTGATTAATTAATTAAAAATCGGCCAGTGCGAGTGCTCAAATTCAAATAAACTTGTTCCGTTTTGTCAAGTAAAGTTGCTATTACGCTTTAGGTGTTACGGGATAAGAAACAAATTGTCAAACTGTTCAGTGTAGTGACATAATATAATACTTTATTACTGTACACTTATTTACAATAATCTGAAAGGTAAATGACGTAAACTCTTTTTTTTTTTTTTTTAACTATTTTCGCCCTGTAGGCACTAAGATGGCGACGTACAGAACTTTACGGTTTAAATAATAACATTTGTCTTCAATATATAAAAATATAAACATACATAAAAATGTATAAAAGAAATATTTAGTTTTAAAGAATTATTACGTGTTTACCTATTTTTTAAATCAAATTTACTGGTAAAAAATATCAAATTACTGGTATGCTTATTGATACTTTTTTTTTACCTGATTAATGGTAAACCATTAAACCGTTTATCGGAAGTTCAATCATTAATCCTATTAAACACAAGTAACTGTGTTTATTTAAATCTTTTGTACTGATTAAATTTCAGATTTCAAAAAATAAAATATTTTTAGTTGATAATGAAAACTTTTGAACCTCTTTAAATATATTCTTAGTTATGAATGTGATAAAATTAACCTTTAATTCGTTAGAAAAGAAAATTATTTTTTAAATAAAATTAGAAAATTAATATGTTAAGAGGCAGATCAATGATTTAAAAAATTAATGTACAATTTTCACTTTTGTTTTTAAAAATTTTAAATTATGAAAGAAATTAGCAAGAAAGAAGATCCAATATTAGAATTTTGATATGTTTTTGAATCTCATGATTCAATTTACGCTACTATTGATATATGAGTTTTATGTTATAAATTTAATTTTTTATACTCATATTACTTTTTACTAATCTGGTTTTTAAATACAGACCTAATTTTTGAAGACTATAACATAATTATTTATCACATTCTTAAACAATTATTAATTCATTTAGTCAACATTTTCATGAAATTCCTCTCTAGTTTATTAATATTAAATTAATAGGAAAAAATACTGGATTTTGTTAATCAGAAGTATTTCTTCTTACATTTTAGATATAATCAATATCTAACTTTGCAAGCGAAAACTTTATACATAATTTTCCATCAAAAGCGATTCGTTCTGGAGTGTTACATCAAAAAATTCGTACTTATTATAAGCTACAAGATACATAATAAATAAAGATAAAAGTTGTTTTTGTCGTAAACGCAATTTTTCTAATTATAGATTGTCTTGTGTAAAGTCTTCTTACATAACTTTTGTATATGTATGTCTATTTTAGTATATTGATAATTTCGTCTATACAACTAGTAAACTCCTAAATTATAAAGGGATTTATAGTTCATAAACTATGTGATTTATAAACTGAAACTCTTAGTTAACAACGTATCTATCCAATTAAAACTTAGAAAAAAATGTCTTGATCCCGACTGGAACTAAATTCATATTCTTCGGTATTGTGCCAGATGTTTTAACCAGCTAAACTAATGACATAGAGTTAAGAAATTTCTTGAAAATTACGAAAATTTTTCTTAACTATTTCTCACTGCTGAGTCTGATTTTGCTTATTGACATATATTCATCCTATTTTTTAATAGTATATACCCAATAATAAGAAACTCTATTAGAAAATAGGATGAATGTGTTGTGACAATTTAATTGCTTAGAACATTCGTAATATTCTTGTAAATCTCACTTTACGAAAGCACAAATATATTTTTCTATCTAGATTTTGGCTTCCTTTTTTTGTTAAATATGTTGTTTATAATTTAGAATTATTTTTTGTTTTAAGAATTATTACGTGAAGATAAGCCAAACTGCATTTATCTCTCTTTTTACTTAATTTTTTCCTACCACAATTATAATGTTTTCTAAATCAGGAAGGGCTCCCTAAATGAATATATAACATTAACAATTTATAAATCAAATAACATTTATTTAAAACATTTTCGAGATAAAAAATATGCCATTATCAATAGAACGTTATTCAGTGTTTTCACTTGATTTTCTATTAGCTCTCTGTACCACCGAGTTGAATGAATTCTGATAGAATGTCTCATTTGATATACATTTTATTAACACTGGACAACACTAAGGCCCTGTACACACTAGGCGTTTTTCAACGCGCGTTAGTTCGGCGTTCGACGAGCGTTTAGCGGAGCGTGCGCACTGGCTCGGTTTGGAAATGGATGTGGAAGTGATTGCTTGTGTGTGGCTCCTCTATCGTCGCTATAAAAGACGACGGCAGAGGCAAAGAGAATTTTGGGTGCACCCAATATTACGAGATAGACTGACGCATGAAATGTTTGCGACGTTGTATCCAAAACTAAGACAAAATAAATTCAAGTTTTTTAATTCTTTTAAAATATCTATAAAATCTTTTGACGATGGTTGGTGTCTTTTAGATATCATCAATAAATAGATCAGTATCGAAATGATCGTTTTCCATTTCAGCACATATCTCAAATCGCTCGGCTGACGCCCGCAAAACGCGCGATCGCATGTACGGTAACATGGCAGCACACATATCTCAAAGTGCCCGTAAAGCGCTCGCAAAACGCGCGTTTTAACAAAAATCTATAAACGCGCGCTTGGCGTTTGAGTGTGTACGGCTACATAGAACTCTTGGTTCTTTAAAACGCGCATTAAACGCGCGTTTAAAAGCGCGCGTTTAACGCGCGTTGAAAAACGCCTAGTGTGTACAGGGCCTTAACGTGGGAGTGACGTCTATTGCTTTGTAATTCTAAATTTCAAAGAAGAAGCGTTTTGTTATCGTAACAACAAACGTTCAAAACGTAAAGATTTAAAAACATTTTTTCATAAAAATAATACATTTAAATGTAAAATGTTTAAATAAATGTTATTGATTTGGTAGTTTCTAAGTTTTTAATGTTAAATAGTATTTATGGGTTTTTTTCGTTTATTTTTTATATTTTTATCTTTTCTACGGATAGTTTACTTGATTGCCTAATAATTTCATTATAAATTTTTAAATTAAAAATAAAAAAATTGTATCAGGTTTATTAGATGATTATATATTCACATGTTAAATTATAAAAGTTTTTGAGGAAATTATTTATATTAATATTTAACTTATAAATTTCTGTTAATTCAAAATTAATAAAATATAATTTAATACCAAACAAAAGTTTAGCTGAAATTAATTTATTTGATTTTATTTTACGGATTTAGTTATATAGATTTAATTAATGAACTTATGAGTTAGTTTTATTTTGCAACATTACTTTTATGCTTCATTTGAAGTTTCCATTTGAAATTCTACATAATGAAATTATTGTGTAAAATTTAATTAGATTTCTTTGTAATAAAATAAATTTAACTGAAATTTTAAACATTTAGAATGAAAATTTACTTTAATATTAAGTTTTAATCTTAAAAAAACGCTTAATTTCACTATTTTAATATAGATATGAACAAGAGTAAACTTATACTTTTATTAAAAAAAATACCAACTTCCTGTTTGTTACAGACTAAAATTAATTATATTTTTTTAATTTAGTAGAAAATATATAAACTTATTTAAATAGTGTATATATTATAAAACTCTTATGACACTTAGGAAGGGGTAGGAAGTAAATTCAAAGCGGGAGGGCGCTACAGATGTGATTCTAGACGCTAACATCGCGCACAAAACAAGTACACGTTTCTGAGCTAAGTATAGCATTCAGCAGAAAAGATAACGGAAACTCTCACTTGTACAAAAAACGAGGCAAGTATATTATAATTATTAATTAATACCTTCGAAAAAAATCGAAAATACCTTTAAGAAAAACGTTATAATATAATAGCGTAAGTACGCATTTATTTTGTAGGTCAAGAAGATTGTCCGTTGTACGGGCTGATAGCTTAAAATATCTTACTTATCGCTGTCTGCAATAGTA